TCTACCTTCTAGTTTCCTTTATTTTATTTATTTATTTTTAGATTGCTCATATAAGAGAAACTATGCAATACTTAACTTTCTGAGTCTGGCTTATTTTGCTTAACTTGATAGTCTCCAATTCTATCTGTTTTCCTGCAAATGACATGATTTCATTCTTCCTTATGGCTAAATAATATTCTACTATGTATACATACCACATTTGGTTTATCCATTCATCTATTGATGGGCATCTAGGCTGTTTGCACAGCTTAGCTATTATGAACTGCACTGCGTGAGTATGCAAGGATCACTATAGTACACTGTCTTTAATTCTTTCAGGAATATAACAAGGAGTGATATAGCTGGATCAACATGCTATTTCTATTTTTAGCTTTTGAGGAATCTCCATCCTGATTTCCATAGCAGTTGTACTAGTTTACATTCCTAACAACAGCATTGGAAGTTCTCCTCAAGTTGCCCAAGCCGGCCTGGAGCTCACAATTCTCCTGCCTCAGGCTCCTGGTGCTAGGATTACAGCCACGCACCACCATGCCCAGCTGTTTACAGATTTTTGCTCTGGCTTGCTTGCACTTGCCTTCTGGTATACACTGGAGCAAGGTTTTCTCCAAGGTGCATGCCCAAGGATGGACTTACCATGTTGTAGAGTGGGTACATCATCAGATTTACCAGGTGATGCCAAAATGTTTCTCCAAGTGCTCTACTCATCCTGTCCTTTTCTCCACCAGCAGAGCATAAGTAGAGCTTCTATTGTTCCACATCATCAGAAAGACTTGATACACTTGGACTTTAAAAGTGTTGCCTACCTGATGGCGTGAAGTGAGAGTTCACTTAGATTCCAGTTGCATTGCCTTCCTTCCCAGTGGGCTGAGCGTCTTTCCCACCGTTTACTGGCTATCTGGGGTTGCTCTTCCATGAAGTGCCTGTTGGTACCTCTCCCTTTTAAAGTCTTTTGTTAAGCTAACACTTTTTATTGAAATTATTTGTGCTAAAATTTATCTGTTTTCTTTACATTTTAATGTAACATTTAAATTTTAATATACCCTTTAATCCAACAGTGAACATAGCATGATGTTAATTTATCATTTGAAATATACATATAAATTTAATGTCATTTATTTATTTATTTATTTATGTTGCAGTACTGGGGATTGAACACATGGCCTTCACATGAGCTACATCCCTGGCCCTTTTTTAAATTTCTTAATTTTTGAAATAAGGTCTCACTAAGTTGTCCAGGGTAGGCTCATACTTGTGATCCTCCTGCCTCAGCCTCCCAGAGTGCTGGGATTATAGGTGTGACCACCATGCTCAACTAAATGTATCATATATTTTAAATATTTCATTGAACTTATACATGTGTTGTGAAGATGGTTATATAATCTGTGAATAATGGTACTACTTTTTCATATTTGTAGTTCTGGTGTTATACTGCACAAGGTAGAATCTCACCACAATACTAATAGAGGCAGGAAAGAAGGGCATCTTTAATCTTTAAAAAGGCTTTGAAGAAAATGTTTCCTGCCATCCTCCATGAAGAATTACACTTGTACAAGGCATGGAGGCAAATACCTGTAATCCCAGCTGGGTAGAAGGCTGAGACAGGAGGATCACAAGCTCAGGTTTAGCCTGAGGAACTTAGGAAGAACTTGCCCCAAAATTAAAAACAAAAAATTAAAAGGGTTGAGGATATAGCTTAGCAATCCTTGGTTCAATCCCCAGTACTATCACCACCGCTACCAAAATAAATAAATAAATAAATAAATAAATAAATAAATAAATAAATAGAGTTTGCTGTGGGTGTTTTGTAGATGTCTTTTATCAGGTGTTTGGTTGAAGTTTTCTTCTATTATTCTTGTTTGGACATTTTTGTACTTATTTTTGGTTTTATAATTATAAAATATCACTGCATTTATGAAATGATGTCATTGCAACTGTGATGATCATATGGTATTTTTCTCCTTTAGTAAATGATGTTGATGTAAATAATTACACCTGTTTGTTAAACTACCTTCTGATTCTTGGGATAAATCCATTATGCACAAATACACACAGAGCCACAGGCTGAATCCAGTTCTACTAATACCCTCAAAGTGAAAATCACTTTAAGTGTTCCATTTAAAGGCTTTGGGTTTTCTTTCTTTCTTGCCAGTACAATGTATTTAAGACTTTTAAAAAATATTTTAATCTTTCATTTTTTAAGTTGTTTTAACAGGAGGGTCAATTGGATAATTTAGGTCTACCTTATTGCTAGAAATACAATTCAATTTTCCTTACTTCTAGCAAGCACAGCAATGTAATAAAAAGCCAGTTTTGGGTTTTTTTGTGTTTCATTGTTGTTGTTTGGTTTGGTTTGGTTTTTTGAAAGAGGGTCTCATTACATAGTTCAGACTGGCCTCAAACTCATGTAGTCCCGGCTGGCCTTGAACTCGAAGCAAGTGCTGGCATTACAGGCATGGGCCACTACACCTGGCAAAGCCAGTTTCCCTAACGGTAGGACATGCATAGTTGTAATTTAGTAGGACTGCCCTTTGAGCTTTCTACTCAACCACACTTTCAGAATCAGAACTTTCCATTTTTATAACTAGATATGTTTTTCACCTGGAACCACTCTTTTTCAATTTTTGTTCTCAAAATCTACACATTTTCTTTTTCTTTTTTGGTACCAGGGCTCAAATGTGGGACCTTGTGCTTGTGAGGCAGGTGACGGAACCACTGAGCTTAATCCTCAGCCCTCAAAATCTACATAGTTCTACCTTTTATAAACTTGGAGATTTCTTGAATATTTTCTTCTAAATATGATTTCCAGTGAGTCCACTGTATTTTGGTACTTTTAATTTTAAACCAAAATCCCTTTTCTATGACTACTTCTTTTCATACCATCTTTCTTTTCTCAATAAGAATACTGCTTAGAATTCTTTTTTCTGTATTAACTCTATTTTCTGACTTTTTTTTTTTTTTGTGCCGGGGATTGAACTCGGGTCCTTGCGCTTGCGCAGCAGGCAGCGAAACCACTGAGCTAAATCCCTGGCCTTATATTAACTCTATTTTGTAGGGGCTAATTGGTTCATTCTAAAGCTTGGACTAATTTACACATCTAATGTGTTTTTTATTTAACTGCAGTTAGTTACTACTAATACTATTGACATGGGTTGTCTCAGCAACTATTAGTTTTCAGTTTTCCAAAGGGAGGCCCCAACCCTCAGAAGAGCACACTGTTAGCTGGCCAGATCCATTATCTCCTTTTTCCTTTGTTCTTGCATAATAATATTTATAGGTACAAGCTTGGCAGCCCAGTTAGGCTACACTTCTGTTTTACAGTAAGATGTGACAAGGTGACCAATGAAATTATGAAAAGGATGTGTGGCATCTTCAAGTATGGATCTTAAGACACTGGACATAGTTTTTTACCCTGCTTGCAGCTGTGAGTTCTACAATGATCTTGCTTCACAGCACAAATGCTGCAACAAGATGGAGGGAAACTGAGACTCAAGCAGGACTCCTCACTGCTCTGGACCACAGAGAAACTACCCAAAACCCTCTGTGCCACTGAGTTTGTGACAGCCACTTAGCCTTCACCCCAGTGGATTCCACCCGCCAGACCTCCTCCACCTCTGACTATACATGGCTGAGAATTCTCAGGAGAAAAAAACCCCACATTGACACCCCATCCACACCAAGCAAAGCCTGAGCTATACCCACTTTCTCTGCATCTGAGTTTTTCCCTGAACATTTTCCCCCCCTTCTGAGACTATTCCCAAAATAATTATGGAGGTAAGATGTGGTGGACTGCTTGGCTGTGGGTTTTCTCTTCCTACCCAGCCTCCCAGTGGTCTTCAGAGAATAGACTTTTAGTGTGGGTACAATACCTAAATTTTAAAAACCAAAGTTTGCTATTACTTCATAAAATAGTTAAGTCAGCACTGTGCCCTTTTCTGACTTTGTTTTAGAGAGTTGTTACAGGAAACATTTTCCAGACTGTGTTTCAAATAAAAAAAAATGTAGGGCATGTTGATGATGATGACAGTTGGAATCCAGGAGATAATGAGAGAATGAACTGGGTGTTCATTTTACCAATTTTTAAAAATAGTAGAAAACCATCTTTTACCCCTGATGAGAGTTATATCACAGAAAGTGGTAAAAAATAGAAACGCAAATATTTCCATAAGCAGATAGAGCTCAAAAAAACTCCCCTGGCCCAGTACTACCCCTGCATCCATTTGCTTTTGGTTTCCTTGCTTGTGTGTGCCAGAAAACAGAGCAGCGTGGGGCTGAGCTGTCCTGCACACAGGTGAGCAGAATTCATGTGAATGCTGGTCACTCGTCTTCATCTTTTCTTCCTCTATCCCTCCTGTGGGAACTTAGATGGAAGGAAAAGAAAACTTGGACATTTACTGATATAAAACACCTTGTGAATCTATATTCTATCATGTCTATGCCAAATCTGATCAACTAATTCAGGACCAAATCAAAGGGCCTTGCCCTCCTCAGTATCTAGCAAACTCTGTTCCTCAAACACCCACCTAGGACCAGGCCCTTCAGATCTGCACTTCCCATGGTCGCTACCTACACTGTACTTCAGAGCAGTGGCTCAGTTTTGCAGCTTGGACTGAAGCAGTATGTGGGTTCCTGTGTGAAGGTCTTAAAGCATCTTCCTTCAGTTTACTTGAAACTATACTGTTTTTCAGTGCTGCGCCTTGAAGTTAAGGTCCTTCTTAGCTTCAGGTAGATGTTATATTCTTTTTTAACACTTTTTCTTTGATGGTTTTGGTGAGCATTAGGATGGAAGCATTTGGAAACATGGATGTTTCCCCCCTTTTTGCCAGCAGGCTAATCTTTTATACATGTCTTAAATGCAAGAGTGAAGATTACAACCATAATACATCTACAGGCTGGAGCAGAGTCTGCCAGTCTGAATAACACCAACGCAACCTACAAGAATTGTCTGCTCTTAAAGGACAAAACTCTTTACCCAACAATCACATTTTTACTCAAATATTTCATACAATAACTTACTATTTTATTAAAAGATTATTTTTTCTGATTATTAAAGTAACATACTCATTTTGGAAAATTTGGAAAATATAAAAATGTATAAAAAATAAATAACCATCCATAATCCCACTACCAGTTAATAGCCCAGTACATTTTACTCTTTAAACACTGAATGCTAGCTCACTCACACTTCTAAAGTCTAGTCACACAGTCTTTTTTCAAAACACTCAGTCTTTTCCCATGGGAAATAACACATAAACAAAACATATAAAACACATATTCAAATAGAAAGAGGTTCTTTACAAAGTAGCTTCCTACAAAAATCTCCATTTTCCAAATTGCTGAGTCAGAGACTCTAATACAGACTACTAAGCGTTTATTAAAATAACCACAAGAGAACAAAGCAGAGAAAGGGCAGGAGCTCATTTCCAGATTCCTCCCCGACTCCTCATGCTGCTAGGGGTAGGGTGGCTGCTTTTCTTCCGAGCAGGAGGTTTATCAGACTTAGGAGCTGTAGCAAGGCAGCGAGGGACAGCCTGTGAAGGGATCTGAGATTTGAAGGAAAAGAGAAGAAATAGTGTCATATATTCTCAATCCCCTCATCCCATTGAGGAAGTCATGGTGCATGGAAAGGGTAAGAACCAATCATCACAGGGGAAAGAAAGTCCATGCTCCACCCATAACCAATCATCACAAGTAAAAGTCCACACTCCAGCCAGTGGGACCAAGGACAGGAGGTGCCAGGCAATGGGGAAGCCAGCCAGCCAAAGAGTGGAGAGATGAAAGAAGAGCTGAAGGAAGTGGTCAGTGAGAGCCTTGTCCTCCCTTGGTCTCTGCCTGATGTTCCCTCACCTCTTTCCGGGAGATCTCACCCAAGCGGGAGTCTGGGTTCCTTCTGGGGACATTCTCCCCTCGGCTATCAGTCCTGCCAAACAAATCAAGGGTATGAGGCTAGGGAAGATGCCTATCATAATGCTACCCAAAATTTACTGGAAGAAATGCTCCCAAATAAGAATAAACTCAATGGAGTTGGGGATTAAATAAGAAATGACATTAGTGGAATCAAATAAGGCCTTACAATTGATAAGCTAAAACCCTAGGATTCTGGGTTTTGAGTTGCAAAGTAAAGACAGGAAAAACACCAAGGTACAGAGACATGGGGAAGAGGTTTGTTTTGTTTTAGAAATAAAGAAAAGAGCAGTGGAAATGAAAAGACAAAAGAAAGGTAGGAGCAGTTAAGTAAAGACTCTGAGTCTACATCTCATCCCTAACTTTTCTCTTCAGAAATGGACAAAAGACTACTCGATGCACAACACCCACACACCCTCTGTCCTGCCTGGCCCATTTTCCTAATCCAAATTCCTCCCAGGCTTATACCCGCCATGTTCCAGCTTCTTCAAGCACAGCAGCAGGTCCTCAGCAGAAAGAGTCCCCCAGCCCCGAGCCTGGTACTGTCGTAACAGCTGAGACATCTCCATCAGCTGCCTTGAGGAGCTGAGCCCATCTGCACCTCAGAGACATGTTGGCAAAGTAACAATGATGGCCTGAGGGTCCCTCTCCTCACCTTCCTCCCTTCTCCCCAGGAATCCAGAAGGCCTTAAAATCCATATCCAAGAGCCCCCTACACACAACCCCCAACCCCAATAAACCATGGCCTTCTTACCTTTCTCTGGGGAGCCAGTGCTGGGACCACTGCCTTGTGAATAGGAAGAGGGAACCTCATGGACTCGGAAACAACTAGATGCCATGGCTAAAGGGACTTTGGTTTTATGGACAGGGGGTGGAAGGCGTGGCACTTGAGAGGCTTCTTCCCAAGATGGCACAGTCTGGGGACCTAGCAAAAAGAAAGAGATCCAAGAAAGAAGAATAGGACAGAGCCAAGGAAATCCTCCCATCTAACAGCTCTTAACCATCCATCTTAGATCACCAGCTCCCACCTCTTCCAGGCACATCCTCAACCTTCCTCAGAGTTGGAACTCACCATACTTGGGAGGCAGCAGATCAACAGAGGGGCTCTCATTGTTCTGTGGTACTGTTTCCAGCAGCTGGGGGGGGGACAAGACTGTAAGGTTCTCTAGAGGACTAATAGAGAAAAAAACTAGATATTGAGGGTAGTAGAGGGTGGTAAAGTAAGGCGTAGAGCCAGTGGCCTAAGTTCCAGAAGAGAACTGTATACTAGGAATGAGATACACAGAGTATAGAGCTGGGACAAAGAATTGTTCCTAAAGAGAAGCCATAGTCCTGGATTCATCAAATGAAAAGAGAAAATAAGGGAACGAGAAAACAAGGTTGTCTGGGTAGAATATCTTACCTGCTGCAAAAAATTCTTGAGGCCTTCCAGCTGAGAAGCAGGTGGCAGCCCTTGCTTTAGGAAGCCATCTCCCTCAGATCCTACATCTTCCTCAGGGAATGGCCGTTCTGCTCTGTGATCAGTTTGGAAGGCCCCAAGTGCAGAGAAGTCTTCAGCTATAAAGTGAAATAGATGGGCATAGGTGTACATGTGTTGTAGGGGAAAAGGGTCTCTCCACAAACCACTCACCAAACGCCCAAAAGAAAAGGCACTATTAAATGTAGAGGGACATCACAGCCAAGAGATGATGACAAGCGAAATTTAAAAGAGCTGGAGAGAGAAGGGTTGGAAGTGACTGGGAAATGGCACAACTGATTTCTAATATACAAGTCAGAAGAAAAAGGCTGTGACACTCAAACTAAACAATTAAATAGTACAATAAATTCCTTAAAGAACAGACATGTTCTGCTTCTTCACTACAATATGACTCTCAATCTTTTATTCTTATTAGATATAATTATAATACAATTCAACACTCATTTTGGAAGGAGGTACTGAAGATTGGAAGGAAGGTCCTTGCACATGCTAGGCAAGTGCACAACCACTGAGCTACACCCCCAACACTTTTTAAAAATTTTAATTTGAGACAGGGTTTGCTATGAAGCCCAGGCTACCCTCAAACTTGTGATCCTCCTGCCTCAGTAGCTGGGGTTTGAGGAATATACCATTATGCCCAGCTTCATCCTGAATTCTTAACTCATCCTAGGCTGTCATGTTTGTACTCCCATCCATCAAAGTGACAGCTGACTAAACCAGGAGTGGACACCCACATCCAAGGTGAGCCAATCTGGTGGATGGTTTCCAACCTACCATGTGGCCACCTTTTAAGTTTGACCCAAGAAACTGAGGCCAATGTCTCTATAAATACCTAGAATCTGCGCTACTGTCAGGGTGATGGCTGGTCAAACCCATGTATGAGCCAAAGTTGTGAGGAAGAGAGAGAGAGAGAAAATATGCTGGTTTAGCAAGAAAAAGGTGCACGTGTGTATGATGAGGCAGAGTCAAGTTCCTATGCAGGAACAGACAGGGGACAGCTGTCTCAGTTTCCAATGGCACCCCTGTTCTCATTCCATTAAGCTGCACTACATCACATTTCCATGATCTCTCAGCTCACTTTATCTGAATCAGTGTGAGTGGGTTTCTTCTCCTTGCAACTTATGATCACTAAGACATCTAGGAAAGCAAATGCTCACATCCCCATCAGAAAGGAAGTAGGTAAGGGGGCCAATACATCAGTGCACATAAGGGGAACCTCAGTGGCTTCTGCTCTCAGTTACCTATGGATGGAGTGAGATCTGGTTTGGGCTCCAGAGGCTGGAAGGAATGCTGGCTCAGAAAAGAGGGGCCCAGAAGGAGGCTAAGGTCTGGGGAGGGGCTGCAGTCAACAGGAGGCACTCCAGGCAGCTCGTCCCTGGCATCCCTGGCTTCCCGGCTCTGCTGCAACGCAGGCTTTAGGGCCACAGCCACAGGAGGCATGGTCCAGATCCTCCTCTCCCCCTTCTCTGTCTCTGGGAGATCAGAGCTGGAGGGCCCAGTGGGAGGAACCTAGCAGGGAAAGAGATGGGAAGAAGGTTAAAAGCCCACTGGGTTCAGAGAGACAAGACACAGTACAAATATTTGAATAAGATTATAAACTATTGTTGGGGATTTAGCTCAGTGGTTCCAGTGCCTGCCACGCAAGCACAAGGTCCCAGTTCGATCCCCGGTACCAAAAACAAACAAAAACAAAACAAAAAAGATTATAAACTATTGTACTAGGGCTTTCTTAAAAGGAGACTGGATAATATCTAGCCATTTCTATACCCCGCCTCTTTATTTTTTGAGACAGGGCCACTAAATTGCCAAAGCTGGCCTTGAACTCATAATTCTCATTCCTCAGCCTTTCTTTGAGTGCTGTGAGTATAGGCATGTGCCACCATGCCTGACTTTATCAGATTTCAAACAGCTCATTTTTGATCTTATAATTCTATCTCTAAAGATTTTATAGGTACCATATACAAAGACATATACTTTAATGATATTTACTACAACACTGCAGATGCGAAATATAAGAAATTATTATATTCATCAGTAAGTGCTGGTTGATTAAAAAGTCACACAGCAGCAGATAGAAGAGGGCTATTTAGGATTTGGAGTGGGATGGGGAAGGAGGGCAGATGGTCAAGACACCAGTTAAGTGGCTGCTTCTAAGGAGTCCTGGGGAGTGGAGACAGGGACAGGATGGGAGTAACTTTTCACTGTATACCTTCTTATAAACAGTTTGGATTTTAACCATCTGCATGTTAATACCTACTCTAGAAAATATTTTAGCTAATAATAAAAATTTCATAATTAAAAGGAAGTAAAAGATGCCAACATAAGAAGGGCTAAGGGTAAGATTCTACTCTAGTGCAAGACTTAGTGATAATTTTTAGCCCTTACTTCCATAATTAATTCAGCTGTCATTCTACCAAATGAGTACCACATATGATTCATCATCTCTGGGGACTGGGAGAAGAGTTATGCCCAGTGGAGTGGGGCCACTCCAGGTAAGCTATGGCCATAGGGAAGAGCTTCATTTTGGTGAAATAGCTGTGCTTTAGATAAGTCCACAGGTTTTTTTCCATCCTGATGTGCTCCCTCCTTACAACTTCCCTGGGGAGGGAGCTACACTTCCACAGAAGGAATCTACACACAATCCTAGCTGCTTAGCTCGGGGGGGCAATGCCTACTGGAGAGTTAGGAGGCTGGAGGGTAGTGCCGAGCAGCTGGTTGACCTCATCCCAGTGGGCCTGCAGCATGGCCTGGAGCCGTTCCACCAGCTCCACTCGCTGCTCCTCCAGCTGCTTGTTCCCACTCTGAAGGTCCCGTACCCGTGCTTGCTCCCGTGCCAGTCTGAAGGAAAGTGGGGAGAGGTGACTCAGTGCCTTTAAGGGAGCAGAGCCGTGAAGGATAAAAGCAAGGATGGAATGTCAAATATTTGTGACTTTGAAAGGAGTTCACCAATTAGAAGAGGACAGAGGATCTAAAGAGGGGCAGCTCTTTACCATTCCCAATCCAGGCTCCACCCAAGGTGAAGGGGCTGAGGTCTAAAAGGATACTCCAGGAATTAGCACCTGAGCTCATAGTCCTGAGCCACCTGCTGTTGCCGTTCCTCTCGTTCTGCCATTTCCACTTTGAATTGAGCCAGCTGAGTGGCCAGTTCTTGCTGGTGCTGTCCATTAAGGTCCTGCAGCTGCTTCCTAGAAGGGCACAGGTGAGAAAACAGGGCTGAGACTGGAGACAGACATGATCAATGAGAAAAAGAATGTGTGCGGTTGAAGGGGAAGATGGCCTGCTCCCAGTCACCCAGCCTGGCCATGGCTAGGAAAAGGGAAGGACAAAGCTGGGGTCTCAGGATCAGCTCCACAGAGGCAAAGACAAGAATTTATGACAAAGTGAGGTATTTAAGGAGCATTTCCAGAAAAAAAAAATGGTAGAGGTAGAGAAGTGAAACTGGGATAGGGAAGAGACTTAGTCCCACAGGACAGCTCTGGAGACAGCACAGGTCACACTTCAGCAAAGTCCCTGCAAGCTGGGCACTTTGTAATCCCGCATTCTTCAGTTCATGGTTAAGGGCTCCTCCCTACAGGAGAAAATCTGCAGGCCCTGGCTCTCAAGAGGCACTGAGGTCCTGGCTGATGGCAGTGAAAGTATACCGGGAGCCAGTGGTTAGAAAATGGTAAGGGACACAAAGGACACTAAGAACACGTGGGCAGGGCACTGACAATACCTGCTATGGCCAAGAGAAGTAGCAACAGTAAGTCCCAAGTACCTGTGATGTTCCCTCAGGGAGGCTGCTTGCCGTAGGCTGCTCTCCTGAGCCTGCGCCATCCGCTCCATCACCTGCTGCTCTAGCTGCACAGCCAGCTCTGACTCCATCTGGATCCGCTGCCTTTCAAACCGGGCCTGGGAGTGAAGCAAGGTAGGGTAACCACTCAATCCTGTTGCTTAGAAGACATGGAGGATATGATGTAGCCAAAATCCAGTACCAACATTCCCCTCCTCTGCCTAAGGGATGAAGAACAACAATCTTGCGACAGGAATGAAATAAGTTTCCTGTTCTTATTAAGTGACATATATCATGTATGTATACAAAAGTAAAAATAACTTCAGACAAAAAAATATATCATATGTATATGTATATATGCTTTTTCATTTTTGTTTTTTAGTTTTGTTTTTGAGATACAGTCTATGTAGTCTAGGCTGACCTCAGACTTGCGATCCTATAGCCTCACCCTCTTGAGTACTTGGGATCACAGGTGTGCGCCACCACACCTAGGTTAAGAAATGTATTTTTCAAAATTTTTATTAGTACCTGTTTGCAGAACATAATGATTAACATTCATTGTGGGGAATTGATACATGTACATAACACATCTCAATTCTTTTTTCTCCCCTTGCCCTCCACCTCCTTTTTTGTTAGATTTTTTTTTTTGGCCAGCATCAAATTTATTTTACAAGTCTTTATCAAGTTAATTATCACAAACACAGATTAACAGTCAGACTCACAGGCCAAAAAACATAAAACACACAAAACGATTATACTAAATCAAGGTACACTTTTATTTTATTTTACTTTTTGGTTTTTTTGAGACAGGTTTTTTTTTTACTCACTATGTAATTCAGGCTGACCTTGAATTCACTATGTAGCCGAAGCTGGCTTCGAACTTGCAGTGATCCTCCTGCCTCAGACTCTCCAGTGCTGGGATTATAGGCACGAGCCACCATACCCAGTACACTGTTAGATACACTGGCTATGCTGGATTATAATAACTTTTTTTCTTTTTTCCTATTGTCTATCATTTATTTTGCACTTTATTTATATGTTGTGTTTCTCATATAAAAGAAACTGCAATATTTAAGCTTGTGTGCCTGATTTATTTCAAGTAACATTACGGTCTCAGGGTATACCCATTTTCCTACAAATAACTCAAGTCTGTCCTTCCTTATGATGAGTAGTACTCCATTGCGTATAAATACCATATTTTCTTTAACCATTCATCTGTTGCTTAAGAAGTGTATTTATTCCCAGACAACTACCTTACCCCTACCACTGTGCAAATATTCAGAGAAAAGGCACTATCCACAAACCATGAAATAAACTCTCACTGGATACCAAAAAAAAAAGAAATGTATTTATTGCTGGGCAAGGTGGCTCACACCTATAATGCCAGCACTTTGGAGGGTGAGGCAGGAGGACTGCCTGGAGTTCAAGGCTAGCCTGGGCTACTAGTGAGTTCAAGGCCAGCCTAAATTATAGAGACCCTGTCTCAAAAAACAAAAACAGGGCCGGAGATTTAGCTCTGTGGTTCCGCAAGGTCCTGAGTTCGATCCCCAATACCAAAACAAACAAAATGTATTTATTAACCCAGGGACACATTAAGTAATCCTTTGATATGTGTTAGAAATAACATGCTTGCTATCCCTAGCAGAACACCTGAAACCTAGTAACTATTCAATTAAAGCTCCATAAACAGAGTTGGTCTATGATTGCTGTCTCCATTTTCTCACCTATTTCTTCTTCAACTCACTAAAATCTGACTTCTACTACAGTACTTTACAGAGCTTAATTTTAAATCCAATGGCAACTATTTTTCAGTCTTTGTGTAAGTCAATCCTCTCTTTGACAAACTTATTTCCCTCAGCCCCGTCCCCAAGCCTCTTCTCATTCTTATTCTGACAGTCTCAGCTAACTACTCTGCCCATAAAGGTGGAATAGTTCCTTGAATTCTGATCTTCTGTTCTTTTCTTCTGTAAACTAACATTCCATGTGTATAATTAACTTTTATATTTAGATTAGTTTTTTGCTACCATTTATATCTTAACATTCCCTAAATCTCTCTCATTAGTCTAGACTTTTTTTCCAAGACTTTAAGTCCATATACCAGTGACCTGATGGATAGCTCTATTTGGATACACCTCAGGTAGAAGACACTCAAAATTCAACTCATTTGGCTTTTACCTTCTGTGATGGTTAATCTTGTTAACTTGACTGGATCAAGAGATGTCCAGACCTAAACAAGTGACTGGATTGTGAGGGCACTAACCTCACCCACGGATTGATCCATTAATGAGTTCATAGCTGAATGGGCTATTTATTGGTGGTGGGGTCTAGCTGGAGGAAGTAGATCACTGGGGCCATGCCTTTGAAGGCTACATCTTGTCCCCAGCCCTTTCCTCTCTGGGTCTCTCTGCTTTCTGGTCAGAGGTGAACAGCATTCCTGCACTATACTCTTCCACTATGATATTTCTGCCTTAGAGCCAATCAACCATGGAGTGAAGCATCTGAAGTTGTAAGCCAAAATAGTCTTTTCTTTTTTAAATTGTATATGTCATATATTTTGGTCACAGTAACAAAAAGCTGACAATACACCTTCAAACCTTTTCTTCCTATTATATTTCCTGCCCACCTGAGCCGTGTGAAACCTGGAGTCATCCTGAACTTCTCTTACTTCTTTACTCCCAACTAACCATTCAATTCTACTTCTTGACTTGCTCTCAGAAATTCATCTAACCTTAACACACATTTTGCACATAAAAACAGAGGCCCAGAAAGGCCAAAATTCTAGTCAGAGCATAACTAAGTGTCCTGGCTCCCAGCTCAGTGCTTTTTTTTAAATGTTATGCCTCCACCATGCATTTAGAACAAAGTGCTCTCCCACCTTTTCAGCAAACTATAGCCCATGTGAGCCCTCCTCCGCTTGCTTTTGTGAATAAAGTTTTATGGAACATTACATGCCTGCTCATTTACATATTATCTATAGCTACTTCTGCGGTACAACAGTGCAGTGAATAGCTGTACCTGAGACCAAGACCCACAAAGCCAAAAATATTTACTCTCTGGTCCTTTACAGAAAAGGTTTGCCAAGCCTTGTTCTACTACATGGCAAGGGTCTGACTAGATTAAAGTTAAAGTTTGCTGCATTAGCTACATGGAAAGCATTTTCAAAAGTCTAATTATATCTGACAAATAATTTGTAGGTATTATTCTATGCCAGGCCATGAGAGGTTATCAAAATCTCATAAGTAAATAAAATAATCATTCATCTCCTGGGTCCCCAACCTACTCACAGAAATTAACAGAAGTTATTTAAGTACCAAGAATTACAAAGCAAATTGTTATGATTGGAATCAGATCTCTGACAAAAGATTTCACCCGTTCATACAGCTGACCCACTAAGTGTAGTGTCATCTCTTCTAAAATAATACAAACTACCACGTGTGGTGGCACACACCTATAATCCTAGCACTCAGGAGGCTAAAGCAGGAAGAGTCCCATGAATTTAAGGCCAGCCTGGGCTACATAGTGAGTTCAAGGCCAGTCTGAACTGCATAGCAAGACACTGTCTCAAAAAAAAAAAAAAAATCTTAAAAATAATACAAACTATCTTGAATAGATTTTTTAAAATTTTGAATAGATTGACTCTCTTTACTCCTTTAAGTACCACTAGGTCAGTCTGATACTGTGGGAAATTGTCACTCAATGAGAAACCACTCTGAGTGTAAAACAGAAGAAACAGTTTAAGATACAGAAACCATTGATGAAAAAAACCAAAATATCTGAAATGGGCTATCAGCCATGACTCCAAGGCCTCAGAACCACTTCTCTCAACCATATAAAAACAAACCCTCAAGCATCCTCTGCCTGCTGACCTGCACCAAGCTCATCTCCAGCTGCAGGGCATCTCTCTCTCTCCGAGCCGTGTCCAGCTCCCCTTCCAGCCGCCGCACCTCAGACTGCACCAATGCCAACTCTTGCTGGGCTTCCCGAGCTGCTTGGGCCTCCCTCTGGCTGTTCCCCTTACAAAGGGAAAGCAAATGTGAGACATACCTCATCTCTTGTCTCCAGTTACCTCTATTCCCATCTTCCCATTCCCTAACTAAAACCAAGTTCCTCTCTCTCTGCTCCCATGTAGACTATTTCCTCCTCCCTGTTTAATGTTACTCTTTGGCCTACCATGTATTTCATGGCCTAGTCCTTCCGCTGGTCCTAGTCTCCACATACAGCTCTCCACTCTCCATCCCTGCCCCTATTTATACCCCACATTCTGCCATCCCATCCCCTTTGGTAACTTTGCCCTTCAATTGTTCCCATTTCCCAAATCTTCCAAATGCTGCTTTTACCTTTTCTCTTTCCAGCTGAGCCTGGCTCTCCCCCTGCAATGTCTGATAGCGCTCCTTAAGCTGGTGCTCTTGCTGGGCCCAGGCCTGTCGCTCTTCTTCCAGGGCAACCTGAAGGGTCTCCAGCTTCCGATGCTCACTGAGTTGCCCAGCCCGAGCCTCATCCCGCTCTTCCTGCAGAGCATGACTCCGCTGCTGTTCAACCTCCAAGCTCAGGGTCAGAGCTTGCCTTTCTTCTTCCTAAAGCCCCATGGGAAAAACAAGATCTTTAGTAGGCCCTCAAAGGACCAGCAACCTGCCACCATACAACCTTCCTGCTAAGAATTATGCTCATTGAAAATATAACAGTTGATAAGCTCAAAGGATTAAAATATAGATAAGAACTCCTACCCTAGAGTTAGGTGGACTTGGATTCAAATCATAGTCTCTATCCTAGCTATCATTTATTTATGATGTGTTCTTAGGCATATATCCCTATCTGTAAAATGGAGACAACAGGGTCCACCTTGTGAGGAGTAAAGTAAAATGTGTATGTAAAGCATTTAGCACACTGTTTGGCACACAGGAAATACTCAACATCTAATAGCTATCACCACCACCATCAAAAGAAACTCCACAAAGACTAGCAAAGCCAGTGTATAGTCAGAAACTAGCCAAGGAACAACCAACATCAGCACTGCTGGATGTAGCCTGTTAAGACCACAGGTGTCAGTCTGCATGTAGCAAGCATGTGTCATGCAAGCAGCAAGTTCCAAACCTGGATACCAACTCCCTTGGATAATCATCTGATCATTTCAGTTCCAAGAAATTTTATGAGTCTTATCCCATACTTTTCTATACCTTTTTCGTTTGTTTTTATGGTACTAGAGAGCAAGGCTTTCACACTGAGGTATATCATCAGCCCTCTTTTTATTTTTGGGGACACGTCTCACTATGTTGATAAGTTGCCTAGGCTGGTCTTCAACTTGCAATTGTCCTGCCTCAGTCTCCCAGAGGGATCTCATATCTTTTTGGGTATATCCTGGACCAAGAGTTCTCAAAAAAGGCTGAATAAAATCACCCGGGAAATTTCTGAAAATACATGAATTCTCCAACTCCGCCACATACTAATGAATCAAAACCTCTGGGAGGATTGGGGGTATAGCTCAGTGGTCGAATGCCTGCCCAGCGTGTCAGACTCCTGGGTTCAATCCCCAGCATAAAAAACAAAACAAAACAAAAAACATCTGTCCTGGGCTGGGGATTTACCTCAGTGGCACCGCGCCTGCCTCACAAGTGCAAGGTCCCGAGTTTGATCCCTGACACCAAAAATAAAAATCTGTCCTTGGGATGGGTCCCACAAATCTATATATATATTTTTGGGGGGTACTGGGGATCAAACTCGGGACCTTGCGCTTGCAAGGCAGGCGCCAGAACCACTGAGCTAAATCCCTGGCCCCCACAAATCTGTATTTTAAAACAATTCCACTTTGGAGGCTGAGGCAGAAGGATCACTGCAAGTTCAAGGCCATCCTATTCTACACAGTGAGTTCAAGGCCAGCCTGAACTACATAGTGAGACTTTGTTTCAAAAAACAAACAAACAAACAAACAAGAACAATTCCCAAGATGGTGGTAATGTTTTAGTGAGGATATACTTTGCCAAGTTTTTCAAACTCACTTGGCATCACAGCCTTTTTTGATAAAATATCTAGTAGAACTAGTGCTCTAAGGAACAAAGCCTTGGCAATACCAGCAACATTCCCACAATCCACCAATAGCCCTTCACTCTCAAGAAGTGACTAACAGCCTCCACTGGAATTATCACATCCTAGCCTCCTTACCAGCACCTCTCTTTCCCGTTGTTGCAGTCTGGCACCTTCCTGCTCCCGATTTAGGGTCTCCATGGCTTCTGAAAGGCTTTGTTCTAGGCGGGTTACTGTCTTTCAGGGAGAGAGGAACACAAGACAGAGGAAATGAGGGAAACTGCTCTATGCTCTACTTGAAAAATCAATAACAATGTAAAGTTCAAACTTTAGAGTAAATTAAATGAGTTGAAGGCCAAAGAGAAGACTATATGGTGTGGGGAAAACTGGAAAGCCACAATCTAAATTTGACAGCAGAAATACTGAAAGGAGAGGAAAAGAGGGACAAGAAGAGTTGCCAGGATAGCTGCTGCAAGATGGAGGTCAATCTGTTTGGAACCCTAATTCGAGAACTATTTCTGTCCCTTTCTTTCAAGAGATCTGTAACCTAGGTTCTAATGCCATATGATCCATGTCACCTACTTCTTGCTGCTTGCTTCTGGTGAGTTCTGCTGCCTGGCGTTCCTCTTGTAGTCCCCGAAGCACTTCTGTCCGCTCAGCCTCATGCCGATTCCAGCCCTCCACCACTCGGGCCAGGGTCTCCAGAAAGGCAAATGAAGTGGAATTTCAAAATAACCTTTTGTCCTCTTTCTACCCAAAGGGGCAAGGCCAACAGCCACCTTCTCCCAACAGTAAATAAACTCACCCCCTACCCTAGCTCTTTTCATGCACAAAGAAATAAACCCTAACCCCCCTCGTTTACAACTCCTTTTTTTTTTTTGGTACCGGGGATTGACCTCAGGACCTTGCACTTGCCAGGCAGGTTCAGTACCACTGAGCTACATCCCTGGACCCATTTACTACTCCCTAAGACTCTCCTTGGAGAGACTCACCACCCTATGCTACCCCGGGCACCTTGTCCAGTTGTTCAATCATGATATCTTTCTTGCGGTCGGCAGCCACAGCCACAGCTAACTGCTGCTGTAGCTCTAGAACTCGGGTCTGCAGGCTCTGAATGTGGCGTTCACAATGCTGGGAAGAAGAATAAGGAGTTTGAGTCTTTCTCATGCTTAGTCTGACCACAGCACCAAACTTTCTAGTTTCTCTAAGGGAAAATGGGCTGAAATCAAGGAATCTGGATTACAAGAACAGAATAGGTTTGGAGAGGGAGAATCATGAATTTCTGAACAGGAACATAAGGCCCAAGACTTCCTCTACCTTCTCAGCATATAGTTACTTAGATTCTAGACTCTTCCCTTTCCTGGAATCCTGAGAAAAAAAATTCCATAAGTCTTTTGGCAGAGGTGTAGAAGCCCACACTACAGAGTGTGGGAAGTTATTTCTACTTTAAGGAGCTCATTGGACACAATGATTCAACAAACCAATAATAAAAGGGAAGACTTTCATTTGTGCCCAACCAGTTTAAAACATGGGAAGACAATGGTTGTCCAGAAATGACAACCAGAGATTCTGACTTTTCCTTGTCCTTGTCCATCTCTGTCCCCTTCAGATATTAAGACTTAGGCTCATGGAAATAAGGCTCATTATATCACCAATAGCTTTAGAGCTTTGCAAACACCAGCAAAGTTCATTGTCCACTCAACAAATGCATATAGGGTGTTTCTGTGTGATAAGGATATTCTAGACGAATGGTGGTATAGCACATGTGCCACAGCAGGCTATTTGTATCACTGAAAGCTGTAAAAAGTTTGCCATCACTGTTCTAGACTATAGGGAGCCAGTGATGGACAGGACAAGTTACTGGCCCTTGGTGAGTCTAAAATTTAAATGGAAGAACAAACAATATATATAACAGTGAGAAGTTATATGAAGGGAATCATAAAGTGACCTGAGTAACTATCTGGAGGGGAAGTGGCATCACTTTACACAGGATGATCAAAGAGGGCTTCCTTGAAGAAACACTTGAGCAAAGTCCCAGCTTTCAGGCTTGTAACTCTCAGCCTTTTTCAGCACTCAAGTCCCTTTTCTAATCTTTGCAGCTTTTAGAAGGAAGCTTTTCTGCCTCACCTTGCGGCGGGTATGCTCTGAATCCAGTGCATCTCTCAGCCTCTGAAAATCCGGGGGATTAACTGGGAGCCCCGGTCGAAGACTGGTGTAGCGGGGAAACAACTCCTCCAAAGCTTGTGCTGAACTGGGTGGAGATATGTCTTGCAGGAGCTGGGTGCTGAGCAAATCAGGTACAGAATATTAGGTTTAGAAAAGCCTTTGAGACCCATTAGTTCCACTTTGACGTTTTACAAATAAGGAAAATAAGATCCAGAAAGGTTGAGAGATGTGCCCAAAATCATAAAGTTAGACAGTGCCAAAACCATAAATAGCACATAGGCCTGTGATTCATTCTACAGTGCTCCTTCATACCACGCTCCCTACAGTAACAGTCTCAACAGAAACAAGTTAACTCTCCCAGGAGAAAAAAGACTAAGGTTGAGAGAAAGCCAGGTACTAGGCAGATGATGACCATTTAGGTTCTGGAAGGAATAAAGGTGGTAGAAGATAGGAAAGAAATGATAAAAACTAAAAGCTAAGTGACAAACTTCTTAAGTCCCTAAGAGGTACATCGTAGTCAAGAGAGAACTAAGAACTAGAACACTCAGATTTCCAATAAAACACCCAAAGAGAACTCACTTGAGCAAGGTAGCTGTGCTGTCACTGTCAAAGGACTCCTCTTCCCGCTTCTCTATGCCAGCACCTGCAGTGAGGGGGTCCCCTACACATAGCCCAAGAGACCCCATGGCTAGGGTCAGGTAAAGACAGGAACAGGCATTATCTGACAGAGAAGAGAGGAGACAGCCTTCCATTCTCCTTCTCCCACTCCTCAAATTGGCTCCCAAAGAATGGATGCATTTTCTCCTGAAATCTGTCTCAGAGGTCTAGGTTTCCCTCCATGCTTCTCTCCATTTTGCCTCACTCCTTACATCCAGGCTCTAGCACTAGGGGAGGGGCTTACTCACGATAGGCTGCATCATGTGAGGTTTGGAGCATGGTCTGGAGTTGACCTCGAACACTTTCCATCTCAAAGATATGCTTAAAACCATCCTGGGGATGGGGGCGGATCAAACACAGAAATCAGATGCAACCTGTACAATCTACAATCTATCTACTGCCAGCATATAGGTTTTTTGTGGGGGTTTTTTGGATTTAGTTGATTTTATTTACAGATTTTTTGTTTTGTTTTTTACATTTCATTTTACATTTTTTACATTACAATTACATTTCTCATTTTCTGACCTGCAAACAGATACCTCAAGTGGAAATATTTTTTTAAAATTATCAAAATAGGTACATCTGAAATGCAACAATTACACATGACAATTCACAAAGTGTAATTTACTAGGACATATCCTAAGAATTTAGGAACAACCAGTCAGGAGAAATCTGACCAAATTTAGTAGCCAACTATTTACATATCCAAAATCAAACCTATCTAAACTCCCAAACCAAAAGCTTGAAAGTTAGTTATATCCCCACTGAACAAAAGAGTGATGGTTCAAACCTGACTGACAGTTCTAACACTTGGAAGCAAACACTGGACTACTTCCCCTCTGTAACTGAATAAACAGCAAGCATCTCAGTTTGTCAAACACCCACATATGAAACTTTTATACCATTATACGCACAGAAAGGCTAAGTGTTTGTTAATTTAAAAAACAAGTAGTCATTAAATATTCCCTCTTCCCCCAGCTCATCATCTCTTACTAAAAACTCAAATACAGCATATAGGTTTTTACTCCAGCACCAGAAACACTGCAAAAGTGATAGACCCAATAAGGAATGTCTTAACCTTGAGTCAGACACCCAAATGCCTACTGAAGCCAGAAAAGCAGTGCAAACGAGTAAAGTGGTTAGGTATAAGGGTGGTGGGGATTCTTGCCAACTAAGATCAAATGCTCAATCTAAAGGCTGTGTAGCCCATGGTTACCACATTTTAAACTCTCAAAGTCCTAACCCAGTGGTGACAAACCTATGGCACATGTGCCACAGCAGGCTGTTTGTATCATTGAAAGTTTTAAAAGGTTCACCATCGCTGTTCTAACCAGTCTGCAGACTGATGTTGACACCTTTTCTATCCAACATAAATATTTTCTCTGGGGCTGGAGATTTAGCTCAGTGGTGCTGCTGCCTGCCTCAAAAGCACAAGGTCCTGAGTTCAATCCCCAGTACCAAAAACAAAACAAAACAAAAAAACCCACAATAAATATTTTCTCTGTAACATGTTTAATTGATTAGACTATGTTTTGATTTGTGTGGCAAATTTTAAACGATGCACTCAAAATAATTTTGACCTGGAAGGATTTTGGCATATTTTGCTGTTATCTTTAAGTCCGCCCCCCCATTTGGAACCAAAAAAATTTATCCCCCCCCTTCCAGTGTCCAGATCCCAATCACAGGACACCAACGTATCCTAAAGTATAGATGTCTCTGACAAAATATTCTCACAATTCTCCAAATTATGGTGTTCCAGATCATTCTCTCCCTCACAAACATGTGATTTCAGAAACGTTTTACTACACAGTAAAATGTAAATTCAAATTCTGCAAGCAACCATTCAAATCTCGGCAGAGCTAACTTGCAATCCCAAGACTCTCATGTTTAGTACTCTAGAGGTCCCGAAGTCACACGCACACACACACACCCTCACCTTTTTCTTCAAGTTGTTCTCTAATCCGACTGACAAGCTGCGACTCAGCTCTTGAGCCAGGCTGTCTAAGGCCTCATGTGGAGGTGGGGAGGTGGAGGCTAAATACAGCTGAGCTCGAGCAGTGGCCTCTGCCTGACGGCTGAGGTGCAAAGAAGTATAGAGCTGGGAGGTCACCTCAGAGGACACTTGGTTCAGTCCAGGGGGTTCTGATGACTCACTCAGGAGATCCTCTGCCCGGAGAGGTGAACTGGGGCTGGTAGTTGATGTGGCCATGAGTACAGGGAGAAGACAACTGGAGACAGCAGAAAGCTGGGAACTCCTGGTTCAACTTTAGGTGAGCCAGAGGGAAAAGTTCATAGAGAAGGACGATTTGGGAGAAGGGCGAAAGAGTCCTTGGTGGATCCTTGGTGAATAAAGGTATCAAGGCTTTCTGGTTAAAGGAAAGGTTTCTCCTGGTTCCAGAGGCCATGGAGAGGGCAAAGGCATTCCTTTCCCCAGTCCCTAGGAACGGTGGAAGAGGATGCAGTACAGAAGACAGGGAGGACGTGGACCCAGACCTCAGGAGGGTTGGGGGAGGACAACAGGAGGAGCGCGGTTCCTCCACCCAACTAGAGTGTTGGAAGCCGCAGGTCAGCTTGGGGACAGGCTTTCCCTGGCCAACTGAGCTCTTCAGTTCTCATGCACAGAACGTGCAAACTGAAAAGAAACTCACTGCCTGTCCCTCAACTGGGTTCACTGGCAAGAGAAGTAACTGCCTCACGCCTCGCCCTCCCCTCCTACGCTTCCTCGGGTCAAATCCCTTGTAAAATCCTTCCAACCCCTCCAGGCAAGAAAGCCATAGGAGGGATCCTGAGAGTCGCTCCCTCCCTATCACCCCAGAAAAATTTTGTGAACCCTCAGTCACACCCTCAGATGTTCCCGATAAGCACGGTGCTCTGAGATCTCTACCGCAACCACCCTGTTCCGACTACTCTTCGCACTTCCAGCCCTCAACCCCGAATTTACCAAGGTGGAGAGAAAGCTTGCCCCCGCTCCCCACTACTCCCCGGAGCTCGGGTGGCGCAAGACAAAGACCCCCTTCCTCACGCAGCGCTTCACGACGAAAACCGTTGGTAGCGTCCCGCTCACCGCCCCTCCCCTCCCCTCCCCTCCCCTCCCCGCCCCTCCTCGCCTGTATGGATGACGTCACGAGCCCGCGAGACCAAACTCTCGCCGCCGCTTTCATTGCTTCTCCAGACTGGGAGCCTGGGCGCGCTTGCGCGGCTCCGGCAGCCACGGATTGGTTGAGGGAGAGAGGCGGAGTCTGACAAAAGGGTGGTGTTACTGCCCTACTGTAGCAATTTGAAGACTCAGCGGGGCGGGACTGCTCGGAAACCGGAAGTAGCTCGTCTCCTGCGATAGGAGTAATTCCGGTGAGTCCAGGGGTGAGGTGCCCACCTGGTTGGAGGGATCTGGGGCCAAGAACCCGCGCCTGCGAAGTGAGGGCGGTCTTGGAGCGAGGCTCACATTCTCTGTCCTGCAGATGACTGTCCACAACCTGTACCTATTTGACCGGAATGGAGTGTGTCTGCACTACAGCGAATGGCACCGCAAGAAGCAAGCAGGGATCCCCAAGGAGGAGGTGACAAGAGGGCCCCTTGCAATTCTGGTGACCTCGCATCTCCAAACACTATGCCCCAGCCCACCCTTGTCTAAATTTCGTCTTATTACTATTCCCTACTCTGTCTCCCTCAACAACCGAGACCTAACTGTCCCTCTCCTTCCAGGAGTTCAAGCTGATGTACGGGATGCTCTTCTCTATCCGCTCATTTGTCAGCAAGATGTCCCCGCTAGACATGTACGACGGCCGCTGCGTCAGAGGAGATGTTGAGAGAAGGAGGGATAGCCTTGGGAATTTGGGGGGGGGGGTCCTTTCTAGAGTGGAAAGGACTTTGGCCCCTAGAAAGGGGAGGGGAGAGGCCCACTCCAGAGCGAGAGCACTGAAGCTGGCAGGAGTAGCAGTAGTAAATGTGAAAGTAAAGACGTTGAGGGCCAAGGCCAAGTTGAGAGGTAAATATGGGAGGTTTCTTAGCCGGGCAGGTGGTGCATGCCTATGATCCCAGCACTCAGGAGGCCGAAGCAGGAGGATTGCTGCGAGTTCAGGCCAGCCTTGCTGCATAGTAAGTTCAAGGCCAGCCTAAACTATAGTGCCAAGACCCTGTCTAAAAGAAAAATTTTTTTTAAAGGGAGGTTTCTTTACTTCCCCAGGCTCCTACAAACTGTTTATATGAAAAGGAAGTTGACCTTGAGGGGATCAGAAATGTTTCTTTGAGAGGGATTACACTCCCATCTTTAACACCCATCTTTAACATCTCTGCAGGAAGGACGGCTTCCTGGCCTTCCAAACTAGCCGTTACAAACTCCATTACTACGAGACGCCCACTGGGATCAAGGTTGTCATGAATACTGACTTGGGCGTGGGGCCCATCCGAGATGTGCTGCACCACATCTACAGTGCGGTTAGTGTCAGCCCAGGGGATGCTTCCACCACAGATTCTTACCCACATTCAGAACCCAAGGAGACCCTCAGATTTCCTCCCCTTATTATATCTAATTATATCTCTATTGAACTCAGACTTTTTGTGGGGGTCTTTAAGTTCTTAAAAACTCCTGCCACCAATTTCTCCTAAGGGAAGGCTTGCCTCCCAGCCCTGGTTCCTTGTGCATTCATATATACATATAGTCCTCAGGTCATACTAAGTTGAAAATAAGAACGTATGCAAAGCCCAGTTCTTACACTCTTCCTCCCCACAGCTGTACGTGGAACTGGTGGTAAAGAATCCTCTGTGCCCTCTGGGCCAAACTGTGCAAAGTGAGCTCTTCCGCTCCCGCCTAGACTCCTATGTCCGCTCTCTGTCTTTCTTCTCTGCCCGAGCTGGCTGAAGTACACTACCTCACCTGCCTGGAGAATTTGTGACTGCCTGGGGCTGTCCCTAACTTGCAGCCTCTGGGGATATTACAAGCCCCTCCACCAAACCCTCCCCCAGGGCAACAGCCTAAAGCCTCTTCCTGCACTCTGCCCCCAGGAGTCTCTTCATTCCCAAACCGTCCAGCTCTCCAGTTTTATCCCCAAGATGACGCTTCAAGAAGCACAGACTACAGAATAAACTTTTTGTCATCCTCTGCAGCCTGAGCGTTTCAGTTTGAGTGGGCCCTTCCAGTTCCGGCTCATCTGAGGCTGGCCACAGCCCTGCAAAGTCTGCAAAGGGTTTTGCTTATGTGTTTCTCAAAAGCTGCACTGTTGACATTTTGAGCTGGATAATTTGTTGTGTTTCGTAGAATTTTAACAGCAACTCTTGCTGCCACTTGCTAGGTGTAGTACATCCCTCTTCCGCCGATGACCCCCCCCCCCCCGCTTTGTAACATTAAAAGTGTCTCCAAATTTTGTTACGTTTCCCGGGGGATAAAAATCCCTTCCAACTGAGAGCCACTGGGCAGGGGTAAGGCTGACATGCCTCGGACACAGTGTGAGAAACAACGCTCTGGGGATCAGATCTCATCTTACGACGAGCCCTGTATTCCAGCCGCGGAGCCTTGGCAGGCCGGGCTTATGCAGATGAGCCGCAGATTTGGCTGGGAGGCGGTCAGTTCTATGTAAATGAAGTGGCGGTGCCTGCATGTTGATGAGCTGGGCCAGCTGCATACGCTGCTGGGAGCTCAGCTGGTCCCACTGCGGTTCGGGCCGAAGTGGCATCTCTCTCCCGTCACCCTTCCTCCCTGGTCCCTACCTTCTGACAACTGCCCTCAACCCTTACCCTCATCTTTCCCCCTCCTACCCCTTGCACCAGTGCCCCTAGTATCTGAATATCTCCGCCCCTGACACTCCTCGTATTGCTCCCTCGCCTCTGCAAAGCTCGAGACCTCCGGCAGCCCGCCCCCGCGGGCCGAGCCTGTCTGGCGGCTCCCGAAGCAGCCTCCTCAGCCTTCCCGCTTTCCTGGGAATCTCCCCACCACGACCCGGGGTGTCAGCCCTCAGGCTTCCCTGCCCCCTCGGAGCCCCCTTCCTCGCCCTTGGCCAGCCGGCATGCAAGTGTCTATCGTGTGCACCGAGCAGAACCTTCGCAGCCGGATCAGCGAGGACCGTCTGTGCGGACCCCGGCCCGGCCCGGGTGGCGGTAATGGCTGGCCAGCCGGCGTGGGGCACGGGAACCCTCCGGGGGGTGGAGGGTCAGGCCCCAAGGGCCGAGCCGCGTTGGTTCCCCGACCCCCGGCGCCTGCTGGGGCCCTCCGAGAAAGCACGGGCCGAAGCACTGGCATGAAATACAGGTATGGGGTGGCCGGGCAGCCAGCCTATCCTCTCCTCTTTCGGGACCCCTGAGGCTTCCTGGGATGGCCAAGACCCCTTCAAACTTCGCTAAAAAGGTCCCCGTTCATTCTAGTTGTCACTGGCACTTCCCAACTTGGTCCCTCTCTTGGTCTTGTCAATCCCCTCCCCCCCCCTTACTATGATAGGATCAAGTTTACCAAGGTTGACCAAGTCCTGTCAGATCCAGGGGATGCCTCTGAGCTTCCCCCTCATTGATAGGAGGGTGGCGGTGTGCGCGGAAATTCCAGTCAGCGCCCCAATGGAGTGTCCTTGGGTCGGCGTCCTGGGCTGAGGAGAGAGGCAAACGGCTTCTTGATCAGGCTTGCTAGGGCGCCTGACCCAGATATTGCCCCTACCTGATCTGAGCTCCCGGTCTTCTGCGACCTCTCCGGAGTGGGAGCGGGGAGAAGATGCGATGGACCATATGTTTCATCCCCATGCAGAGGGATGGGCTGGGTGGGGAGGATTGGTGGAAATTTGTCTTTATCTGTAGGCCTGGGACTCTCAGAACTCTCAGTCAGGGGAAGAAAAGGGGCACCTGGCTTTGTCAAGTGAAGAATCTGATCCCCTCCATGTGGCAGCCCTGATTAGGAAACTGAGATGACTACTTGGGTGGGGGCCCTTGGGAGGAGGAGAGGGCTCCCTCGTTCAGAAACTATCTTCACAAGCCAACAAGAGGCAGTGGAGAGGGCAAGACTTTCCTGTCACACTTCCCCCCAGCTCTTCTTTGCTGGAGGCTCATCCACCCAGCAACCCTTGCTTGTCTTGAATGCCTGAACTTGACTTCGTTTACTCTTCCACTCTGGTATCAGTCACCCTTTAGTGTGGCACTCTCTGATGGAGGGTCTCGTCTCACACTCATCACAGCCAACCACACTCCTGAAAGCCCCCTATTCTATATATTCCAGAGAGGATTTGAGCAGACATGACCTCAGTCAGAAGAAAGACAAACTAGACAGAACATCTTCAATGTCATAGGAGGAGAGGCATTGGACAGTGGCTCCACAGGAACTTGTTCTTCCAGCACTATTTCTAGGGCCTCTGCTACAGGGATAGTACCTCCCAATCCTGTAGATTCACTAGGTCTAGTTTCTTTGGACTAAGACACCCTGGGGGCTTCTCAGTCTGGAAGGAAAGGAATTGGGGGCCAATAACCTAGGTCCCTAATGTAGACTCCAACCTTTTTTGCTGCTTCTGTATCCTGCAGGAATCTAGGAAAGTCTGGTCTTCGGGTATCCTGTCTTGGCCTGGGTGAGTCAGACTAGGAATTAAGGGAAGGGGGCATTCTTTCACAGCCTGCCTCCCACAGTTCTCATGTACCTGGCTTTTCTCTTGCAGGTACCTGGGTGACATTTGGTTCTCAGATCTCAGATGAGGTATAAGTGATGGGTCCTAGAAATAGGGTGGGGTGGGGGTGGGTCAAGAATCAGAAAAATGAAAAATGGGGGCTGGGGATTTAGCTCAGTGGTGCTGCTCCATGACTGCCTCAAAAGCACAAGGCCCTAAGTTCTATCCCCGGTACAAGAAAAAAAAAAGAAAAGTGAAAACTGGACCTGGAAAGGGGTTTGGACAACAAGCATGGGGAAGGAAAGATCTGAAGTTGGAAGATGGAAGAAAGGGAAAGAATGTGGGAATCAGGGCTGAGGTGCCATGGGTTACAGTGCATCGAGGAAGGTAACTGAGGGGCCATGGTTGATGTTCAACTCTTTCTCTCACCTCCCTAGACAGCAGAGGATGTGCTGACAGTAGCCTATGAGCATGGTATAAACCTGTTTGACACCGCCGAAGTGTATGCAGCAGGAAAGTAAGGACTGGGGTGAAAGCTAAGTTACATTTGGAGGGCTGAGTGAACATCAGGGATTCTTGTTTCCCTCTAAAGAATCCTTGGAATTCTTGGAACACTTAAGGTCCAACCTTTCAATTTATGAGTCCCTAAAGTATTATGGGAGTTGTAATCCCAAAATCAGTTCCTCTTTGGTTTAGGGGTCAACAGGCATACTATACAGTCACATTAAATAAAACCAAAAATATACCCTGGGCAGCAGTTATGTACAACTATTTGAGGATTACGTAGCTGGACTTTCAAACATGCCATACCATTCCACACACCTATGACTTCCTCCTGGGAGTAGCCAAAACCTAGGATGACTGACCCCACCTCTTCTCTATCTGGCAAACAGTTCTGCTTATCTTCAAGACTTGGTCCCAATATCAGCTCCTCCAAGAAACCTTTGCCTAACTTCCCAATGTTGGTCACCATGCCCCATACACTTCCAAAGCACTTTATACTGCCTGCTGACACACAGTTATATACTGAGTTATGTACCCATATTTTCTGCTTTATTCAGAACTTCTCCTTTCATGGAATTTGTCTTGCTCTTCTCCAAATACCTCCACAGAACCGAGTACAGAACAGACACTCCTTATGGGATAGAATCAACATGGTCTCAAAAAGTAAATTCTGTGCAGGTGCATGCCACATGCCTGCAATCCCAGCTACTTGGGAGATTGAGGCAAGAGCATTCCAAGTTCAAGGCCAGCCTGGGTAATTTAGGGAGACACTGTCTTAAAATAAAGTGGCTGGGGATGTAGCTCAATAGTAGAATACTTGCCTAGCATATACAAAGTCCTAGGTTCAATCCCCAATGTCAGGGTGGTGGTGGTGGTGGTGGTGGTGAGGTATACTCTTTTAAGTGGTTAAACAAACAAAACAGACAGGAGATACACAAGATTAAACAATAGGAAACATTTCAGTACTAGTCCTTCATAACAATGTAAGACTTGTCACAAGTTAGCTCATAATTACAAATATGATGCTCAAGAATTGAACCAATTTTATGGAAGCTGATAAGGACTGTGGCAAGCAGAGAGCATTTTATGGATTGGTTAGAATCCAAGCTGAGTTTAGGAGGACGGGTGGGATTTTGCTGAGGCTTAGAGAAGGGGGGGAACAACCCAGATGGTTGAAACCAGACAAGACAGTCTTCTCAGTCTTCACTAGTCCGTCCTCTGGCCATTCTATTTTGTCCCTTAGTACCCAAAGGGCTTGGTACAAAGTAGATGCACAGCAGATATTTGTTGAATGAATGAATGAAGCTGGAAGTAGTGGTACATGCCTGTAATCCTAGCACTCTGGGAAGCTGAGGCAAGAAGATCAAAAGTTCAACCCAAATCTGGGCAACTTAGTGAGATCCTGTCTCAAAATAAAAAATTTAAAAAGGGCTAGGGATGTAGCTCAGTGTAAAGGCCCTGAGTTCAACTTTCAGTACTGAGAAAAAAAAGAAAAGAGTGAATGATAACTATATGACTACACCCCAGCTCCACGAGCTCCTCTTATTTAGTCCAAGGTAGAGCTGAGAACCCATTTGGGCGCCTAGTTTTAGCTCTATTTTACGAGAGAGAAAAAGTGAGGGGGTGGGGAATCTACCTTGGAGAGGTCAGTGCCTTTGCATGTCTTTCTTCCAGGGCTGAAAGGACCCTAGGCAACATTCTCAAGAACAAAGGTTGGAGGTGAGACTTTTGGGGGATTGTTGAATATATAATCACCCAAAATTCCTTTTGTTGCTGGTTCTCCCATTTCTCTTTTTCCAGGAGATCAAGCTATGTTATCACCACCAAGATTTTTTGGGGAGGACAGTAAGTGTCTGCCCCATTACAATTGAAAAGACCCACAAAAATGTGTGTGAGCTGGGTGTGGTGGCACACACCTGTAATCTCAACACTCTGGGAGGCTGAGGTGGGAGGAGCCCAGCCTGGGAAATTTAGTGAGACTCTCTCAAAATAAAAAATAAGAGAAGTAGTGATGTAGCTCAGCACAAAGGCCCCGAGTTCAATTCCCAGTACAACCAACCAATTGTGAATGTATATGGGGTAGGGATGGGGGTGGGTTGTAGAGGGGACCCAGATGTTGCCCTTGAGGATTCTTAGCATCTCAGTTCCTCATGGCTCCAGGCCAGCCCTGGTCCCCTATCTTTGTCACATCTCATCTTTGACTTATCTCTTCCTTCAGGGCAGAAACTGAGCGAGGCTTAAGCCGAAAACACATCATTGAAGGTGAGATTTAGGGGGTAAAACCTGAATGGCTAGGCATGGAAGCCAGGGGAGTGGGCAACATTTTCTGAAGCTCTGAATTGGAGAATTTTGGTGGCCATCCCAAGAGAGTAAAGCTTGAATTTTTTTTTTTTTTTTTTGGTACCGGGAATCAAACTCTGGTCCTTGTACTTGTGCAGCAGGCAGCGAAACCACTGAGCTAAATCCTCGGCCCAAAGTTTGAATTCTTAGTAAATTGAAACTTTGGAGTTTCTCACCTTCCTCTCTCCACTCCCACTTTCAGGCTTACGAGGATCCCTGGATCGTCTCCAGTTGGGATACGTGGACATAGTCTTTGCCAGTTGCTCAGACCCTAACAGTCCTATGGAGGGTAAAAGCAGCACCCCCAAACCTGACAGCCCTTCAAAACTGGGCATTTCCTCAAACCCTCAGCAGGAAGCCAGCCCCACCCCGAAGGCCTCCCAAGCTCCACAGCAGAGGCTTAGACCCCAGGATTTAGGGAGAGAGGCAAAGAACAGATCTAAACCTCTCTGGCTGCACAAAGATGCCTAGGGTCTTGGCAGGGTGGGCTGAAGCCTGCAGATCTGGAGTCTTAAATGCCTGAGGTCTGGCAGTGAGGCTGTCCCTCTCCTGTGTGCCTAGAGATTGTTCGAGCCATGACCTATGTCATCAACCAGGGCCTGGCCCTATACTGGGGGACATCCCAATGGGGGGCTGCAGAAATCATGGTGAGTATGTGAATATATGACCCCACTCCCCCATCCCACACTGGCTCCCACTTTTTACATGGCCACCCCAAACCCCACCACACTGGGGGAGGGGACAAGGAAGAAAATGCAAAGAATGCTCTAACTCTAGTCTCCTCCCCACCCCAACCTAGGAGGCCTACTCCATGGCTAGACAGTTCAATCTAATTCCTCCTGTGTGTGAACAAGCAGAGCACCACTTGTTTCAGAGGGAGAAGATGGAGTTGCAGCTGCCTGAACTCTACCACAAGATTGGTGTGCAGATCCTCATCCCTACCTTACCCCCCATCTCCTCCATGGCCTCGGTCCCTTTCCCACATCTACTCCTTTTTGTCTTAGGAGTTGGCTCAGTCACTTGGTCTCCTCTGGCCTGTGGCCTCATTACTAGCAAGTATGATGGGCAAGTTCCAGATACCTGCAGGGCCACCATCAAGGTGAGATCTGGGGTCTCAAGATGGCAGGGCCAGGCTATATGGACTGCTGTGTGTGGTGGTGGAAGCTGGGCCTTTTGCTGATTCTCCTTGACATCCAGGGCTACCAGTGGCTCAAGGATAAAGTGCAGAGTGAAGATGGCAAGAAGCAACAAGCCAAAGTCATGGACCTTCTCCCCATCACCCACCAGCTAGGATGCACTGTAGCCCAGCTTGCTATTGGTGAGACACTGCTAGTTCTGGACACTTCAAAGGTCCTGTCTCACTTCGAGACTTCCCAAACCTATCCAAGACTGTCCCTGGAGAGAACTCTGTTCTTCAGAGATACTTCTGAGGTCTGTGTGCTCACTGCTCCCCATGAGTTCTTTTTATTTTTTCCCCTTTTCTTTCTTCCCTCTTCCGGTTCCAGCATGGTGTCTCCGCAGTGAGGGTGTCAGCTCGGTCTTGCTGGGGGTGTCAAGTGCAGAGCAGCTGATGGAACACTTGGGCGCCCTACAGGTAAGCTGGGGACTCAGAGGTAAAGCCCATCCCTGCCCCCTTCCCCAGGTGTAAATGCTGTGCTGTCTCAGGATGGCCTTGAAGTCAGCCTTGACAGAGTCCTTTCTTTGCCTGAGAAAGGCCCAGGCCACAAGGCCAGGCAGTAAGCACATCTGCGATTCTTTCTTTCCACCCCTAACTGTGGTGCTCCCCTGGGCCGTCGAACTCCAGGCCTTTCTCAGTGACTCAGTAGGGCCTGTTCTGTCCACCACCTTTCCTGCTCTAGGTATTGAGCCAGCTGACGCCGCAAATGGTGATGGAGATAGACGGGCTCCTGGGGAACAAATCACATTCCAAGAAATAGTCGGTCGTGGGGCACAGACACCCAGCACAAGTCGCTGCACCCGTCGGAGAACCACCTCCCAAATACTCCCACGTCATCCTTCGACACAGCGGCTGGAGCCAGGGTGTCCCCGCTCACTAGAGTCCCAGCTTTGAGTAGCGCTGTGCATGAACAAAGCCATATCCTTCCGCAGAGGGCCTTGGGAGAGAAAGTAGTCCACCTGCCCCCGGCTACGTCCTTGTAGGCCTTCTTGCTAATCCTGGGCATGAGCTATGGGCCGTCCCCTCTCTGCCTTTTGGTCTTGCTCCTTGCTCTCTTCTCCCTATTGCAGAGGCCCAGAAAAATCCCACCAGATATAAGAAAAATGCTTAGTGCCTCAAGAATGGCCCTTGAACTGTGATGGGATAAGAACCTAATAAGTGAGTTGTAATGTCATCTGGGACAAACGAAATGGGTCTTTACATTATTGGATAAAAAGGAGACAGGCTGGTCCTGGCAAGAAGTACATAATTTTGGGGAAACTAGATCTGTGCCTCCACCTCCCAACCTGGGGGTAGAGGAGGACTTAAATCTAGAACTAGTTTAATACCTTGTTCTTACAGAGAGGAAGTAGGGGTGGGGAATACAGTGATACAGCACCAACCTAGGCAGAGGGAAATTTGATAGCAAATGTATAGCATGGGCTGGCAAAAGTGGCCAGGGTGGCCTTAGAACAAAGTTGGGTGGTGCTTTGCAGAAATTAGGGAGTCATTTGGTTACCAGCAGAGACATGGGGCTGACCAATCAAGGTCTGAGGACAAACTTTTGAGCCTCAAGCTGGACTTCCTACCTGGAGGTGGAGGACTGCAGTCTTCCATCTGACAATAACCCTAAAGCAATAATGATGGCTCCTCTTCTACTGTAAGCCTTCCCAGGGAACTGTAAATAAAATCTCGGCTTGATCCTATGATATCTGAAATTGCAGGGGACTGAGAGACTATAGTCCCTGTCTCACATACTGGCGTTCTTATCCTGGGTCATTAGAAAGCTCTGCACTAGTTTTTCTCTCCATTCACCTCAGTGACTCAGGAATAGGGCACTTGGTCACTGTTCTCAAGGACTTAGACACCAAGTATTCCCAGGACTGGGTCTTCTTTAGAACCTTCTTTAGAACCTAGTGATCTAGCTTTCTAGTTTTCCTGCTCAATCTATGAAAGACCCAGCTGATACTCTTTGTCTTTTTGTTTTTATTTATTTATTTGGTACTGGGGATTGAACTTGGGTCCTTGCGTTTGCACAGCAGGTAGCGAAACCACTGAGCTAAATCCCAGGCCCTGGCCTTTTTGTTTTTGAAGGTATATTAACCATACTTCTTCCCTGTTTTGTATTCCTTTCCTCTACCCTGATACATGCACACCAAACAACTATTTGAGTAGTTTTCTCATGGCTGGGAGAGGCTGTTCTGAGGTTGAGGATTTCCAATTTGGCAACAGAGGGAAAGTTCAGACCTGTCTCTGGCAGAAGGGATACAGAGAGAGAGGGAAAGGAATTACAATTTTAGAAGGAGAAAGAAAAATCAGTAAAAGATCAGAGGGTATGTAGGTCACAGAAAAACAAAATCAAATTGGGATGTCAGATACTGCCCCTATTTTTTTTTTCCCCAAAGGACTCTGATTTCCTGGGGTGGGTGGAAAGTTATGACCTTCAAAGATCACAAGGAAGAGAGGATGAGCTCTGCCTTCTTTAAATACAATTTTACCATCTCTTTTTTTTTTTTCTGGTACTGGGGATCGAACTCGGGACCTTGCCCTTTCAAGGCAGGTGGTGAAACCACTGAGCTAAATCCCCAGCCCTTACCATCTCCCTTCTACTCCTCCTCATCCTGCCTTGATCTTGAAGGTGGGAGCACAGAGTAAAACTAAGTTCCAAAAGAGAAAAACCAGCAGCCTGCCATTTACTGGATGAGCAACCAACAGGATAAACTTATGAATACTTACATCTGCCCAATCATCTCCCACTCATTTTGGAAGACTGTGGAGGAAACAAAGAAGTAAAATGTATGACTAAACCATGATTAGTTCTTCTGCAACAAACATACAAAAAATTATTAATTCAAAATATTATCCTCCTTTAATGTCCTCTTGAAGGGTTATGCACTTCTTACAGTGCTGCCTCTCCCATTGTTTAACATTTAAAAAAACTTTTAGACACCTTCAAAGCAGTCTAGAAGCCCTTTTAAACTTCCTGTGTTATCACACTTCCTTTGTATATATCCATTTGCCATATTTCTCACCCACCTCATTCATGAGTTTATCAAGTATTTGTTTATTGAGTCTTATGATATGGCACAGTGATACAATGGTGAACAAAACCAGCCTCAGAACAACCTCTGTGCAGTTTACTGATGGGAGAGATAGTCACATGACCACAAGTCAAATACAAACTTCAGTTTCTGATGTCCAGAGGAAAGTACCTTGTCTTAGTGTCTGTAATGAGTATTTGACATGATGAGGTTGTGCTGACAGCAGAAAGATGAGTAGGTGTTAATCATGAAAGCAAGAGTTAGGGGAATAGCATATGTGAAGGCCTTGTGAAGGGAAGCTGTGTTAGCTTTCTACTTTGACAAAATACCTGTGATAAGCAATTTAAAAAGAGGTATGGTTTATTTTGGCTTGTAGTTTCAGAAGTTTCAGTCCATGGTCACTTGGCCATGTTGCTTTTGGGCCTGTGGTGAGGCAGCACAGTATGGTAGAAGAAACCACTTAATTCATGGTGGCCAAGAAGCAGAAAGAGGACAGGACTGGTATCTCAAGGGTACACCCCCAATGATCTAATGTCCTTCCATTAGGCTCCACCTCCTAAAGGTTCCACCACCTCCAGATGAGGCCATCAGTTGGGGACCAGGCCTTCAACACATGAGGCTTTGGGGGACATTTAAGATCCAAACCATAATAAGGCAAAGGTCTCCAGAGTGTCTAAAGAAGAGATAAAATCTGAGGCATAGATGAGTCAGAACACACAGAGCTGTTAGCATACAGACTTTAGGATATTATCTTTATCTAAAGGACAGCAGGACAGCCTCTGTCAGTTATCTATTGACACACAAAACATCATCCCAAGATCTAGTAAAGTCAAGCAGCTTTAAAAAAAATTTTTTTTCATGATTCTGTGGATTGGTTGCTGTTTTCACCTCTATCACACAGCTGCATCCAGCTGGCAGGCTGGCTGAACAAGAACACCCAAGGTCTCACTAGTATGTCCGGTAGTTAGCTCTGGCTATTGGCTAGAACACCTCTATTCGTTTTTTTTTTTTTTTTTGGGACCGGGGATTGAACTCAGGTCCTTGCCCACTTGCGCAGCAGGGGGCAAAACCACTGAGCTAAATCCCCGGCCCAAGCACCTCTATTCTCCATATGGCCTAATTCTCCAATGGTCTAATCCTACTTATATGGTGGCCTCAGGGCAGCATTCCAAGGGGACAAAGGCAGAAGCTGCAAGGCCTTCAAAGAACTAGGCTCCAGATTTCTGCCACATTCTGTTGGTCAAGGCTAGTTACAAAGCCAGCCCAGACACAAGGGACAGAGAAATAGACACTAATTCTTAATGGGAGAAGCAACAAAGTGACATTACAAAGGAACTGGGGACCGTTCAACTATCACATCAATAGACTTTATTTTTTAAATTAAATATTATTTTATTTTATCCCATTCCCCCCCCCAACACCCCCACCCCCCCATGTACTAAAGCTATTTCCTTTTTTCCCTTCTATTTTCAATTTTTTTTTTCTGGTACCGGAGATTGAACTCAGGAGGACCTTGCACTTGCCAGGCAGGCAGGGTTCCACTGAGTTAAATCCCCGGCCCCTATTTTCACTTTTTTTCTTGTCCTTTCCTTCTCCCTTATTTCCCTTCACATTTGAACACGTTTTTCCCATTTCCCAACATCCATTATACATTTCAGTCCTTATTTCCATGTTCAATTTCTCACACCAGAGAAACAATGTTGTATTTAAACATGTGTGGCTGGTTTATTTCACTTAAGAGTATAGTCTCAAAGTCCATCCATTCAGCTATAAATGTCAATAGACTTTAAAGAGGAGAAAAAGGAGCATGTGGAAGGACATGACTAGGTTTGAGCTTTGGAAAGATCTCTGGAAACAAACACAGAAAGGCCTGAAGAAGGCCAGAGTGCCTGCAAATAGACTTTTAGGAGGCTGCCACTGGGGTCTAAGCAAGAGATGATGGCAACTTGGACTAAGGTGGTGGGCAGCAAATGAAAATAAGTAGGTGGATTAGAGAGATATTTAAGAAACAAAATGACAGGCTTGGTGATGGGTGGATAAGGGAAGGTGAGGGGAAGGGAGGTGTCAAGGATAACAACTAGGTTTCTGGAGTTGAGTCCAGGAAGAGGTAGGAAACACTGCTCCCAGTTTAGAAGGGAGATCATCAGTTTGGATCCTGGAAGATGAACAAAGCTATGCAGCAGGCTACTGGATATACAAATCTGAAGCTCAGAGTGGTCTCCTGGCTATCAAACAATTTGGGTACATTTATATAATAAAATCTATTTAAAGGATTAAAGTTTAGCCAGGCGTGGTGGCGCAAACCTGTAGTCCCAGCACTTGGGAGGTTGAGTCAGGTGGATTGCTGCAAGTTCAAGGCTAGCCTGAGCTACATAGTGAGTTCAAAGCCAGCCTGAACTAAATAGCAAGACCCTGTCTCAAAAAATAAAAAGATTAAATTTTATTAACAATTTAGTTTTTTTAAAAAACTGCAATAAACCAGTAAATGCATGGATATACAGAAGCCCATCTTGTCTCAACCAAAAAAGATGGCTGTTGAAAATATTGTATACTGAGACGTTAAAGTGAACATAATATAAATTGGGAGCCCAGGATAATAGTACCAGTTAATACTTACCTGGTATTTTACTGTGTACCGGGTACTATTTTAAGCACCTTACATACACAGGCTCTTTCAATCCTATTATTGTCCATACTCTGTAGATGAGGAAATCAAGGCCCAAAGAAATTAATTTGCTCAAAGTCTCACAACTGCTCGTAGAGGCTAGGACCTGTACTCCAGCTTCCACAACAGAACCTGGGCTGCGGTTCCAGGAGAGGGGGGTTAAGCTCACCTGGGTGTGGGTGTCGCACCTTGAGAGCATATGGGTTGTGAGTACTACGTCCTGTTTACCTGTGGGGTAAGTCAGATCCTTGAGTCAGAAGTCATGCTAAGCTGCTTTGCTGGAGCCATCATAGTGTGTAGGTGTCCAGATATTCCGGAAGGAAGATTCCCAGAATTCCTAGGGGCCACAGTACTGAAATCGAGGTCCCTCCTTTGGCTGAGGTGTCAGCTGGAGTTGTACAGTTTTTTGTGGGGGGGGGGGGTTGGTACCGGGGATCGAACTCGGGTCCTTGTGCTTGCAGGGGCAGGCGGCGGAACCACTGAGCTAAATCCCCGGCCCTAGAGTTGTACAGTTTGAGACTAAAACTTGGGAAGCCAGCTTTACAAGAACACGGGGCGGGGCGGGGGGGGTGGGGTTGTCCACATATAAGGTGAATAAGGGCACTGTGAGAGCTGGGCAGCATCCAAACATCCAAGAGCCCATCAAAATGTGGGCAGAACGGAAGTTTGCGTGGGGTTGTGAAAGAGTGTGAGCAACTGACAAATGGGCCCGGGGTATTTGGGGACCTGAGGATTTGCACATGGCACTATTTAAGAGTGCTGGCGTTGTGCTGGGAGTGAAAGAGTTCGTGGAAGGGGCATTGAATGATATGTGACGAGGGAAGTATTGGAATGGCCTGGCCGCCTCCTGCTCGGCCATCGCCAGCATTCCAGCCTCGCACCTCCACCGCCCCGTTGCGTGCCGCCACCCGGAGCCGCCCGACAATCTCGTGACGCCTCGAGGGCGGGGCCTCATTATTAAAAGGAGAAAGAGGCCGCGGGGCGGGCCCCAGGACTGGACCTGGGCCGCAGGAGTGCCCTTTCGTTCTGTCCACGAAGTTGGCCGCCTTAGCTACGGCGGGCACGATGCAGCTCCTGGTGAAGGTACCTTCTCTTCCAGAGAGGGACGAGCTGGACTGCAACATCTGCTGCCTACCCTTCAACCTCGGTGGCCGCGCCCCCCGCCGCCTACCCGGCACGGCGGGCACCCGCTGCGGCCACACACTCTGCACAGCCTGCCTGAGCGAGCTGGCTGTGCGTGGAGACGGTGGCGGGGCAGCGCGCGTGGTGCGTCTACGTCGCATCGTCACGTGTCCCTTCTGCCGAGCGCCTACCCCTCTTCCTCGTGGCGGTGTCACGGAGGTCGCTCTAGATCTAGACCTGTGGTCACGACTGGAGGAAAAAGCTCGCGCTGACCGCGAACGTGAAGAGGCGGGGAGCCCGGCTAAGGAAAGCCGCGACGCCGACAGAGAGGCAGATGATGAAGAGGAGTGCGAGAAGGGGGCGGAACCTAGAAGCGCGGGTTGGCCTGCGGTCCGTCGGCTCTGGGACCGAGTCCTGAGGCCCGCTCGCCGCTTGCGGCGTCCGCTGCCTAGCAACGGTGAGGGGCAGCCCTGGGAGGATGCCGGGGAGTGACTGCGGTGGAACGCTGGGGTGAGGGTGCATCTTCCAGCTGCCGCTAACCCTTCTTCTTTCCCCAAGTGTTGTACTGCCCAGAGATCAAGGACATTGGCAGCATGACCCGGTGCACGCTGTAACTGAGGAAGACGGAAGCTATAAGGAGAAGGAAGGTGGGAGCTGCAGCTTCTCGCGCGCTTTAGTAGGGGCTAAATGTCAAGACTTACACCCTCCCCTATCCTGGGGTTGGAGTAGGATGAGGGAGTTGAGCCGAGGGCAGGAGGGAACGCCCTGGGAGGTACTGATGCTGAGCTGAGGAGGGCCCTAGACGAACTCGCCCCCATGTACTGATGGTGCCAGCATTGCGTTTTCATGATGGAGTATCCCAGGCATGATGTAATCAAAGCCTACATTACTGTGGGAGGAAAACAGGTTGTTTGATTTGGCTTCTGTCTAGGGAGGCTGTGGTGTGTGGGAGCAACAAATCCCATTTTAGCAATTGTCAGTGGTTTGAATTTTTTTTTTTTTTTTTTGGTACAAATAAAAAGATTAAATTTTATTAACAATTTAGTTTTTTTAAAAAACTGCAATAAACCAGTAAATGCATGGATATACAGAAGCCCATCTTGTCTCAACCAAAAAAGATGGCTGTTGAAAATATTGTATACTGAGACGTTAAAGTGAACATAATATAAATTGGGAGCCCAGGATAATAGTACCAGTTAATACTTACCTGGTATTTTACTGTGTACCGGGTACTATTTTAAGCACCTTACATACACAGGCTCTTTCAATCCTATTATTGTCCATACTCTGTAGATGAGGAAATCAAGGCCCAAAGAAATTAATTTGCTCAAAGTCTCACAACTGCTCGTAGAGGCTAGGACCTGTACTCCAGCTTCCACAACAGAACCTGGGCTGCGGTTCCAGGAGAGGGGGGTTAAGCTCACCTGGGTGTGGGTGTCGCACCTTGAGAGCATATGGGTTGTGAGTACTACGTCCTGTTTACCTGTGGGGTAAGTCAGATCCTTGAGTCAGAAGTCATGCTAAGCTGCTTTGCTGGAGCCATCATAGTGTGTAGGTGTCCAGATATTCCGGAAGGAAGATTCCCAGAATTCCTAGGGGCCACAGTACTGAAATCGAGGTCCCTCCTTTGGCTGAGGTGTCAGCTGGAGTTGTACAGTTTTTTGTGGGGGGGGGGG